CCCAAGTAGCTGGGACCACAGGCGCCCGCCACAACGCCCGGCTATTTTTTGGTTGCAGCCGTCATTGTTGTTTGGCGGGCCGGGCTGGATTCGAACCCAGCCACCTTTGGTGTACATGGCTGGCGCCTTAGCCACTTGAGCCACAGGCGTTGAGCCTTCCCCCTTCTTGAGTAGCTGGAACTATAAGCATGTGCCACCACACCCAGCTAATTTTTTCAAAACTATTTTGTAGGCTTAGCACCTGTAACACAGTGGTTATGGCACCAGCCACATACAACGCAAGTGGCAGGTTGAACCCTGCCCGGGCCAGCTAAACAACTACAAGACAAAGAATAAATAAATAAATAACCGGGCGTTGTGGTGGGCGCCTGTAGTCCCAGCTACTTGGGAGGCCAAGGCAAGAGAATCACCTAAGCCCAAGAGCTGGAGGTTGCTGTGAGCTATAACACCACAGCACTCTACTGAGGGTAGAGTTGGGAGATCTCAACTATGTTGCCCAGGCTGGTCTTAAACTTTTGAACTCAAGTGATCTTAATACTTTGGGCTCCAAAAGTGCTAGAATAATAGACATGAGCCACCGTGCCTAGCCTGGTGTCACTTTATTTTATTTTTTTAGAGACACAGTCTCAATTTGTCACCCTTGGTAGAGTGCTGTGGCCTCACAGCTCACAGCAACCTCCAGCTCTTGGGTTTAAGTGATTTTCTTGCCTCAGCCACCCAAGTAGCTGGGACTACAGGTGCCCACCACAACTCCCGGCTATTTTCTTTGTTGCAGTTTGGCCGGGGCTAGTTTTGAACCCACCACCCTCAGTATATGGGGCCGGCGCCTTACTCACTGAGCCACAGGCACTGCCTGCCAGCTCAGTCAATTGTATGTCAGTTAACCCTCGGAATAGAATTATCTGCAAGAGTCCTGAGGTGGTCCTGAGAGTGACTGGGAGGTGGAGCTCATCAGGGTCACCTTTCTCTCGTCTTGGGGCCAGAGTGGCCCCAGCTTCCTGGGTTCTTTTCTAAGGTTTTGACCAAATGTGGTCTTTCTTTCTGTGCTAATTTAACACATGCCTATCCTGTGCTGTAGGTCACACTCAGCCAGTACCAGAGAAAAGCAGAGCAGAGCCATGCTGCCCTTCAGAGGGAGGAGGGCAGAGTGGAGCAGAAAGAGGCGGAAGTCCAGGAGCTGCAGAGGTGCCTATCAGGCATGGAGACGGTCAGTGAGGGTCTTGCTGCTTATTGCTGGGCTCCTGGGCTGGAGCAGGCCCACGGGTTGATTGAGACAGTTGTTTGAGACTCTGCTTTTCCAAGCAGCTCCAGAAAAGCTCAATTCAATGAGAAAATCTTTCTAAGTAGAGTTGAGCCCACTTCCACTTTAATTGAATTCTTACACAAATGCCTTTATTTGGCTTTTGAAGATTGTTTCTAAGAAGTCATGCAGCTTGGTCTCTCAGAGAGGGGCAACCCCAGCTCGGCCGGACTGTGCCCTGCAGGGCCAAGCTGTCTCTCGGGGCAGCTGGGTGAGGCTGGGAAGTTTGGGTGTGCTGAGGTGGAAGCATGCCCCATCAAACCAGCTTGTCTTGCTGCTTTTTGGCAGCTGTCCCACACCCGGGGGGGGGGGTACTGAATCTCAATCCTAGTGCCCATCTCACCTCAAACACAGAAGCCAGTACCCCTTTCTCATTGTAGATTTTCTTTCATTTGTTCTACCCAGGAGCGTCAGGTCTTACTGGCAAAAGTCCGGGAAGGGGAGGTGGCCCTAGAGGAACTTCAGAGCAAGACTGCTGACTGCCAAGCAGAACGAGAAAAGTAAGGGCCCTTGTTCACTGTGAAATTGGGGGGCAGGGAGGGGAGGGCAGGCCAGGCAGCCCGTAGCTCCCGTGCTGGCCAGGTCTCGGAGAAGCTGGTGCTGATGTCAGATCTTCCAGTTCTGTCTGACTCACAGTGAGCTGGCTCAGGGTGGAGACCTGTCCAGGGAGATGCTGTTTGGAAGGCTGCCGTCTTCAGGGAGTTCATTTTCCATGGGGCAATAATCTAAAGAAAGGGCTCTGACAATTTTAGGGCCAAGGTTGAGTGAAAGCTGGGAGAACGTCTGCTGTCACAGCACATCATCCCACCGGTCATTACACTGCATTTCATGCCACAGTAGTGTCCTCCTGCTGAAACAGACACTGACTGGAAACTTGTTTTTTGAGTCAGAATCTCACTCTATAGCTCTTGGTAGAGTGCCCTGGTAGATCACAGCAAACTCAAACTCCTGGGTTCAAGTGATCCTCCTGCCTCAGCCTCCTGAGTAACTGGGACTACTGGCACCCGCCACCAAGCCTGGCTAGTTTTTCTGTTTTTAGTAGAGATGGGGTCTCAGTTTGCTCAGGCCAGTCTTGAACTCCTGAGCTGAAGCAATCTACCCATCTTGGCCTCCCACAGTTACCTGACTGTAAACTATTGAGGATAAAATCAGGTAATTTCCTCAAAGTTATGTTGATGAAAAATAGGATGAGCTGCTTTATGTGGAGATAGTGAACTTCTGTCACTTGAAGTAATGCAGATAGAAACTGGGAACCTGTCAACAGCAGCATGTAGGCATTGCTGAGATTCTTCCTGCCACCAAAGTTGTAGGGTTTTGCAAATTCCTTGTCATCAGAGGGTATCAGAAGCCCCAGACCAATGAAACCCGCAGAGCAAAGCATGTGCCTTCTGGATCTTCAGTAATACAGACATTCTTTATGCTGTTGGCAATTAGTGAATAAGGCCTCAAAGGGTAAATCAGTTTTTATATCAGGATATTTGGTCTTATCTCCATTGTATAAGTTGAAGTTTTTTTAGTTCAACAAGACTTTTATCTGGAGGGGCTTCTACAGTATTCCAAGATTTTTTTTCTTTTTTTTGAGACAGAGTGTCACTGTGTCGCCCTGAATAGAGTGCTGTCGTGTCACAGCTCACAGCAACCTCAAACTCTTAGGCTTAAGCAATTCTCTTGTCTTAGCCTCCCAAGTAGCTGGGACTATAGGTGCCTGCCACAATGCCTGGCTATTTTTTTGTTGCAGTTATCGTTGTTTAGCAGGCCTGGGCCGGACTTGAACCTGCCAGCCTTGGTGTATGTGACCAGTGCCGTAACCACTGTGCTATGGGCACCAAGCCAGTATTCCCAGACTAACAGGTACAATTATTTGCCTGTCAGGACCCCTCTGTCTTTGGGAGGTGTTTTCTCTCCTTTAGGATAACCTAGATTTGACCTTCCTGGCATGGGAAACACACACCTATTGTTATAGCCTCTTTGTGATTTGACTTCACGTCAGGATTAAGTTAATGTTAAATTCCTTAGTACTCCACCTTACTCTGTGCTGGAGGTGCTCCTTACTCAGTACTCTACCTTACTCTGTGCTGGAGGTGCTCCTTACTCAGTACTCCACCTTCCTCTGGGCTGGAGGTGCTCCTTACTCAGTACTC